CAGAAAATGCAGATCAAGACAAAAGTATTCATTAACAGACAATTACATTGCCATTTGTATGTCCTCTTATGACAGGTGGTTGGATGGGGCTTAGATGAGAAAGGCAACAATGCACAGAAGTTGAAGATGGTTAAAATGCCAGTTGTAAAGCAGGAGACTTGCATCTGGAGTGATCCTACTTTCTTCTCGCAGTTCACTTCTAACACAACTTTCTGTGCTGGATATCGAAACGGTACGTTAAGTTTCAGTTCATGATTATTATAAGGGTTACTGTTTAGATCAGAGAAACAAGTGTGACAGTTATAATTTGCTAATATACTTTATATTGACCTGATTCAGAGTTATATAAAATGGAGAAACTGAGAAACTTAAATCAGAAAACAGGTCAGTACTCATTGCTTGTGCAATATGAATGTAAAGGAGCAAGTATCTAAAGCTAAACAAATTTGTCAAATAACCATAATATCAAATTTTATCAAAATCAAGTCAACAGTTCTGAGGATAAAGCACGCCAATTGATATTTAAAATATTTTACAGGCAGCAGTGTATGTAATGGTGACAGTGGAGGTGGGATGGTGTTCCCAGAGAATCAAAGAGATGGTAATCAAATTTGGATGCTTCGTGGTATTGTCTCAAACAGCAGACCAAATGATAATGACAAGGAACGTTGTGATGATCACAGCTATATTGTCTTCACAGATATTGCACAGTATCTAGATTGGATCAATGCTCTTATCATTTGATGTTAATATCTTGTAAAATTTGGAGTAAAATAAATTTTCTGATTTATGCCCATCAGTATTTTCAACAATGAAAAGATTCTATGGATTAAACTAGCTATAATATGTAAAATGATGTGCTTGAAAACTGAAAGAAACAAGATTGTTACAGAATGTATTTCATTCCTGAAGCTGTAAAATCAGGTAAAATATGAGGTAGAAGAAAATATAAACATATTAAACGTTTATATGGAGCATTTTATGGTTCTGAATGATTAGATCTCATAGTACGTAATGTCGCTTATACAATTAGCATACATGTTTTATGTAAATTTCACAATTCATATCAACTACCACTATAAAACCAGATATTTTGTATAGTCACTATACCATCTTTTCCCCAAAAAATAACCTTAGTAAGACACGTGCTTTTAGAGATCTACCACAATACAATACTTCAAAATGCCAAATGGAATGGTGATAGTGTAGTTCTCACTACAAAACTGTTCAAGGTTAACATGTTATTGAGCAGTGTGTACCATTTAAAATGCAACCAAACACTTCTATACAAAAATTAAATCAGATGCAGACCCAATTTTCCCCATAACACTCGATTCAAGGTCACTCAGGTTGTTAGGCCACTGCTCATATCACTTTTGCAAAAACTGTGCAGGCACGAACATGATGTATTCATGATGATTTCTTTTGGTATGAATTTCTCAAAGAAAGAGTCTATTTACACAATCCACTAAGCTTGGATGAAATGAAACACAATAGCTAATAGACTATTGTCAACAGTGACATAGAAATACTTTACAAGTCACATGAAAGACACAAGGGCAGATGCTTGTCTTTGAGAAGATGGTAGATATTTTCAGCTTGTACTGTAATGCTTTCATGTAAGTGTTCCTCACAAATAAAAATTAAAAAACAACTCAATTGTTGTCTTGATATACTTTTGTCACTACAGCTTACAAATACTTTTGAGGTTACGGTTGCACTTTACATGGATCATTCTGTAGAATACATAGTGTTACAGAATGGTAAGCTAGCTTGACTGCCAATGGCATTATATCCAGGCTAAATTCTCTTTAGAATTCATCAATTATTGATGATATCAGTGTCTATAATTGAATCAGGAGACAGAAAACTACATTTGGCTTTCTAATATGCTTCCAAAAAAAATGTTCTTTTGGAAGCATATTAGATATATGTTAGTTGTTTCTGTAGTTGATATTGGCAGTGAAATGTATGCGTAAGTAATTTATGTTGGTGAATCAGCAAGAGTGAAGTACGAGCTCTAATTTACATTTTGGAATGGAAAAGCATATATTAATTTATAAGTGCATAAGTACAAAAGTATATATAAGAAGAATATAAAAATTCCCCTACAGTCCAGCAAGGAAGCTTAACATGACATGAAGTCACAAATAGCTGTAAAATCATATGGAACAAATCATATGAGAATATTTCAACATTTTAATTATCTAGAAACAATACTAATAAACAGAAAACCAGTTTATGATAAAATTAAGAATAAATTAAATTCTGGAAATACCTGTCATCATTCACTTCCAAAACTATTATCATTCCATCTGTCTTCAAGAATGCTGAAGATTGGTGTGGAATACAAGATCCATTATCATGTTCACAAGAACTAGTCACAGGGCTAGATGGATTCAGTACACTCACATCTTCTTGTTGACTCAATTTAACATTAACCTCCCATCTACGCCTATGTCTCTCAAGTGGTCTCTTTACTTCAGGTTTCTCAAATAAAATTTTGTATGCATTTCTCATTCCTTTATCACTTCAAAAGTACCTGTTGAAGAGTGCAAATTATGAAGTTCCTCATTATCCACGTTTCTACAGCTTCATGTTACGTCGTCTATCAAGTCTCCTCAACGCCTTGTTTTCAAACACCCTCAATCTACGGGCTTCCGTTAAACAATAACAGGCCTACTTCTCATGCACAACATCTATATACTCTCTGCATAGCACACAATGCGTTATACATGGGGCGGAAGCTATTTCTAATACATTACCGATTTTCTGAAAATCAGTGAGGCTCATGTAAATAACCTACAAGACATAACGAAATACTTTATATTACTATAATAAAATCCATTCTATTCAAGGCTGGAAATCGACGTTTACCCGGATAAAAGCGCAAAGTACTTTGTTCGAAAAAGCCTTTTTTATCGCAGCTATTTCCAGTGTCATAAGACGTCATAGTTATCGTCTGCTACAAGGAAATATGTAGGAACGAATTCCTGAACCTACACTGCAAAAATTTCTTCTATAATATGTTAATCATTTCCCATGGTTTTTATAGAAATCTGGAGCGTCTACCTGCTTCTGAAAAATCATTTCGACCCTTTAACACGTGCATTTTGTGAATCTTAAAACCTTATTCAATGCCTTTTTTCTCGTCGGAACACAGAATGTCACATGAAACGTCTGCTAAAATTCCGGTGGTTATTCGCTGGCATATTAAAACATCACCCACGACTCCACAGAATCGCACTGCATCATCCTTCTAGGAAATTTACGTCAAGAATACTTCAAATTGGCGAGAGGATTCGAGCACTTTGCTCCAGGCGCTAAATCAAGAAATGCCCAGTCCGTTGGAAATTTTACAAGTTATCCTCATCATCTTTGTGCTTTTATGCGTTTTTCATAAGAAACTCGTAAAATAAATACATAACGTGAACTTTCTGCCAGCATGCATTATATCAGAATGAATTTCGTTTAAATTTGGTATTGGAGTGGAGTCTAACTGAGTGCATCTAGCTCAGGATAGAGTCCTGTGGTGGCCTCAAGATTTCAGGTTTTAATAAAAATTCTGTATCTCTCTCTACCACCATTTCTATTTTCCACCGTCACACAGGATGAAGGAAGTAGTGAAGCAGGCGACGAAGAATAAGAATTAATCAAACTCCATTAGAACCAAAAGGTCAATTGATTGTTTTTTAAGACAACGAAAAATGCTGACATGACGACAGGAGCGCTGGGTACTTCTTTGTTATTCTCTAACTCAAGGACGTGTATAACGTGGGCAGCAATGGCGAATTTTGGCTGAAGTATTGTGTACACAATTTCATATTTGATGACTGCTGTACAGCTGCACTTGCATAGTAATGACAGTCAGGAAGTCATTTCAACAACCAGTATCAATACACACTCTTTACAACAAATGGATAAAATATGGAAACAAAATTGTTGTAAAATTATCTATAAAATGGATGCTTCCACTTTGGGGCTAGCTAATTAACTTGAAGAAGCAGAATCCTTCTTGGCAAGCTAACTGTTAAGAAATGTCCCGTCTTTTGATAGAAACCGAAAATTAAGTATAGTGTTTAAACTGGGCCGTAAGCTGAGCCAGATTAATCCAGTCTATATTGTCCCATCACATTTTCTTAAGGCCCATATTAATATTTCTACCATCTGCTTCTAGGTCTCTTCCCTTCAGATATTCCAAATATTTTGTAGAAAATATTTTTCATTTCTCCCATACGTGCTACATTCCCTGTCAATCTCATCTTTCTTGATAAATCACCCTAATAATATTTAGTGAAGATCACAAATTATAAAATTTCTCATTATTCAATTTTCCCCACAATCATTTTACTTCGTGCTCTCCTCAGCACCCTGGCATCAAATAACCCGAACGTAGGCTCTATGAAATTGTGGTATTTTGAATCATAACTCTGTGCAATCTCGAAAAATAATGATGTCACGCAATCAGTAATTCCGTAGTTAATGCGGAATTCTGCCAACGGATTGCGATATGTGGCACGTGGTCTCCGGATCTTAATCCATCGGTCTTTCCTTCCTGGGGCCTCGTCAAGACACAAGTGTACTTAAAAGAAACTGACTACGTCTTCGTGAACGAGCATGAGCCTGGTAGTTTCGACGTCCACCTGCTCCAAGAAGTGTTGTTACATCCAGACGTGCTCCGTACGTGATGGACAGCACATTGAACACTTGGTACATGACGTTTCGGGAGTTTATTCCACTTCTATATCAAGCGACAGATATTTCTTACAGTTTCTTTTCCTTATTACTGCAATCCTTAGAATACTTAGCATGTACGACAGCCATTAAATCACCAAGCTGCTTAGCTGATCATTACAGTAGACAAGTTGCAAACAAAGTCATGGGGTAATAACATTCAGTGTTTCGAAGAGAGGTTAGTTCTTAAAAAATGCTTCCTTTGACTGTACTGTGTAAGTGGTACATGTTTGCGTTATAACTTATAACAAGGCTACTCTCCTGGCATACAGAACTGAGAATACATTAACAGCGACTTTACGTGCTGAATCATTATTCGCCTGCACCTCCAGGCTACAGCACATCATTTGATTCCAGGTGCTTCTTTCTTTAGAAGATCCTTCATTTTGTTCAATAGGCTGGTGACTGATGTTGTGCTTGTGTGAGTTGAGGTGACTGTCATGGTGTGCGGGCAAGTATTGGGGATCTTACTTGCAGCACAGACCCTGGGGCCTTCTTGGAGTCAGCCATTCCCCACAAGCCCCTGCCCTGGTATATTTCAGTACCTAGCAGATTCTTCTGGTAACTGGCATGGCCTCATTACCGTCCCAGCACCTCAACCAAGTTACACGTTCAAGATCACAGTCGAGATGGCCCTTGAAGCAGTTCTACGTACAGTAAGTTTTAATTATTAATATCTTGGCATGACTTCTTGAACAGCGGTAATACATGTCTTCCATCTCGCCAGATTAGGTTTGCAAACTCCTTGTAAGTGCTTCATTGCAGCGTCTTCCTTGGCTAGTTCATAATATTGTAATAAATAAATTACTTGTCGTTAAAGAACCCTAATTTCCAAACACCCCATTACATCATAAAAAATGTAATGGAAGGAAAAAATGTATATCCCGAAAAATACTTTAAAATGCTTTAAAAATACAATATGGGCTTTAATAGAATTGCTGTCTTATCTTGATTAAAATAATACATTGGCTAGGTAGTAACTTCCAGTAAATTTTATAAGTAGCACAATGCTGATTTTTGCAAAGTTCTTGCTTTAATTAATAGTATGTAGGGAAGGCTCTGTGAATTCAAAGTACTTTTGCCGATAGCCACGTATTTGTCAGGCGCGTTACCAGTTGTGTTTATTTGCGAACACTGGCGATTCTTTCAGCCTTTGTACATCCTGGCATGCACTCTGACCCCTGCAAGCTTTCTACCGCACTATTCGTTGTTTGCAGTTTAAAAGAACAGCTGACAACCTTCTATCCAGGCTCGGGCTTGCTACGTCAAACGCAGTCAGAGCTAGAAATCTTCAAATCGCGGTGCCACCATAACAAACATTTGGTATTTGCCGCAATACACAACATCATTAAATATAAATAAATTATTACATCAAGTACCAAAACAGAAAAATAACTTTCATACAATAGGCATATCAGTACATTGAGGTCAATAATACACAGAGTCTAAAGGAGCAGAAACAGCTCATACTTATATTTCCTAAAGGTGCTGCTGATGATTACAAGAAAATCGTAATCATGTCGGTTGACCTTGAGGTTCTATTTACTGAACCAGGTTGGTGTACTGATAACACTGTAGATCTATATTTAGAAGGTGCCCTGTTTGAATCTCAGTTGGGTTTCATACAGTGTTCCTAATAAGGACACTTGCAATCTTCAAGTGCTAAATCTCATTATATAATAAGAAGTATCTAACCACAACAAATGTTTGTTAATTTTAAGTAAGTTAACTAAAATTTACGTGTATCAGTCTCTATAATATCAATATTATAAGCAGAATATCTCAATAACATTCCTAGTAAAAGGTATTTGAGCAACCTTTCTTATTCATGTAAAAGTAGCTTTATGAATAATATTTACGTTTCTACTTCGTCGATTTCTACAATATTTCGAACTCATTAACATGATATTTAATATGAATATTTTACCATGATAGAATGATGTAACAATCTGATTCACATTTTCTTTTGAAGAAGCAATATTGTAATAATTAAATTTAGGAACTTGAATTTTCTTACAGCAATTTCAAAACGAGTAATGTAAAGTAAGGTAATTTGTGAAAAAGAAAACTTAACATAACAGCTCTGTGACTTGTATTTTAAATTCAACAGTGCTAACTTAAAATATGTATATAGAATTGAATGACAAAAGACTGTAAATATATTCAAAAGCATTTTTAAATAGTAACCATATCATCACATTTATAATTTCAGTTATATTTTCCAGTCACTAATTACTAGATGTCAGTGAACTAAATTTTGGATAAAGCCTGATCATCAAAGAATAAGCAACAAACTTATAGATTTGTACACATACAACCACAAAAGAAGTAAAATTAGTATAAGTGGATTGAAAACCTTCAGAAAAAATTCTAGAAGTGTACTTACTTAAAATAATATTATGTCAAACTATTCAAACATTTCCTTATATTTTAAAGTCTAATTCAGCAAAATGTTTGTATATTGCAGCAATATGTTGGTTCACTAAGACTTTTGGAAAACGAGAATGTGGTATGGAGAAGGATTAACACAGGGGATAGACAGCCAATCCAATTCCACCAGTCCTTTCCTATAACATGGCCTTTGCCAACAGTGACAAGTATCACTTCAAATGGGAATGTTATCTGCATAGGCAACACACCAAGTATGTATTACATAATCCTATTTTTATTCAATAAGGTTATGGCACATATCTCCCTCAGTTGTATGTCCTTGTCCATGTTCAAAGTTGTTTCCTTCCTGTACACCTCCTTCCTGTTCCAGATCCAATCTCTTTTTATTTGCCCTTGTGTACTTCTTCCTCTCAGTTTAAAATGGATTATTCTTTTAGGAATTCTACAATGTTTCATTTTGTGCACATCTTGAAGCCAATTTTCTGTAAAGTCCTTACATTTTTTCTCGTTCAAAAATATAGTTAAACAGTGTCCCACAATTTATTGCTCATTATCATAGTGAGTGACGTTTCTCAGTTCTCTTGAAAAGCATTTTTCTGTAGCTTGTATATTTCTTACTTTTCCAACATGCTAATGCAAATTCCAAGTTCTTATATTTCAGTGCAAAAAAAAAAGTTTCTTTAGTAAAATTAATTGCCAGTACAAATTTTATTTTCTGGTATACAGCTACCTAATATAGTTTGGAGGTTATGTAATAATCTATCCATATTGTCATTCTATTCACATGTAATATCACAATCATTGTTTCCATAGTTCTTGTGCACGTGCACGTGCACACATGCACATATTCACATGTATGTGAGTGAGCAAGAGTATGCACACAAAGGAACCTATATTATACAAAAAGTGTCTTTATGTTTCCAGATAAAGTCTTCACAAAACTGTATTTGGAACATATTCTTTACCCAATTAGGGGAGCTGCATTCCCGCAACCAAATCAAGATACAAACCATCCATTAAGTGGTATGAATAATTTTCAGTATTTTGAGTATAACACAAAGAAAAATCCACTTTATGGAGTCAAGGAACCACTTGATTCTTTTCAAGTAGCATACAACAAAGGCACATCATCAAAAGCCGCATCTTGGCCTTTACAATCAAATATTACAGGTTTGTTACATATTTGTAACACTTTCCATTACGTTTGCTGCTAGAAAAACTCAGGCATTTTTATTTATATTCTTCCTAAAAATTCAAATTTGTAAGATCGTTGCATGTATAAACACATGGAATATATACTTGTTCATATTGCAAAAGATGTGAAAGCTGTTTCCAACTTGGAAACTGAAATCTACTTTGAAAACAAACTAAGGAAAATATTATAGATCTAAGTGCAGAACAGAATAAATTACGTAAGAAGAAAATTAGTGACTTGTCTGTTACTAGCTTCTTTATTATGGACTTTACCCACTGTCTGTTGAAACCCCAGAAATCTTGACCCTTAATCATGTTCCACAGATCAAGATTAGCTCAGTCTGTTAGCTCCAACTGAGTGAATGCATTCCCTTTACACCTGATGACAAAGAAAAATTCATCCCTCAAAACGTGTTATTTTTCCAAGCAATTAAAAATGTCAGCAAATGATATAAAAAGTCCAAAATAAATAAATCACTAATAATACAGTTACCAAAGGTATTTGGAAAAGACGGTATTGTTAATAAGAAGTTATTTTACGTTGAAATTAATAATATATAAAACTCTTTTTTATCTTAGAAGTCTCTTCATATGCAACAGCCTGTCCAAATGTGTTTCGGTATCAACAAAGCCGATCTGGAGAATGGTATGGAGTAATCAGTGTTCCAAACCCTTACCCTATTGTTGCAATTGACATCAGAGTTGAGATATATGTTACAGGAACTATGCCACTGGTAATTAAAATGTCCAACTTTTCTATTTTAGAATTTAATAATTTAATTTTTAAGATTAGCATGGTTCAGATTATCAAGTGCACAGGTTACACAGCATCAACTTTTGATTTTGAACAATGGTAAAGTAAATGGAGGAGGAAGAAGCTTTTTGTGACTAATTTATTTACCTAAAAGAACTGAGGTATGTCAGTCAGGACAGCCATTCACATGGCAAATATTAAAATCTGAATACCACTGAATATTTTTATAAATATGAACACATATATCTCCATTTTACAGAACGATATAACTTTCAGATTCAACATTACCGAACCCAAGATGTTTCCAAGATTATGCTAGCACCTAGTGCTAGATAATATGAGAATTTAACATTGGTTAAAGACAATCTTTCATAACTGTGAACGAGTGATCCCCTCACAATACATCATCATACTGTCCAAACACACTGATACACATCATAAAACATACACAGCAAGTTTTCTGCTTGAGTATTTTCCGTGTTGACAGCATTTCATTCTATAAAATCTCAATAAAATATAGCAATGTATCACCACTGGAGGTGTTTAGTAAATTAAATTCTTATGAAATATTTTCACATTCTTTGCACTCTGTCAGAAACAGACTCCATAATAATGAAGTCTTTCAGCCCAATTTATTATTAATTATATTTCAATTAAAGGTTGGTAAACTCTAAATTAAATAAATGACACTTATAGTCAGCATAAATATGTTGCAGATCACCAATGGATTTCTTAACCTGGTTAATAAACTAAATGAAGAATGGGACAGGATACGGAGAGGGGAAAGATATTACATTCAATACAAATTAGATTTTCCCCTGTACCAACCAGATTCTTCCATGACTTCTCCATTGCCTGCTGTCAAGAGTATCATTGTAAACAATGAAGTTCTATGCAGTGGGAATAAACCAAGTATGTACAGAAAGCTCATTAAAGCTTTTAACCAGGAGTAAGTAGTTAGAATTTGAGGTTCTCAAGGCAGTGAGTCCAAAGATGGCTGTCTTCTGGGATGTAGTGCCATGTAGTTTGGTACAAGTTTACCAATGTTTCAGAGGTCCCTGCTGCCTCCATCATCAGTGCAATGAGTCAGTCAGAAAACAGCCATCTTAGGAGTAAGTATTTTCTTTCATAGAGGTCCCTGTTATCAGCAGCAGCAGCAGCAGCAGCAGTAGTAGTAGTAATATTAGTTTCCTCTTCCACTATCAAGAATGCAATTATTGCAGATTGACAATGGAGTACACTCACTATTAAGATAAAAATGTGTTTATTGTAAACTCTGTTACAGGTTTCTCTGCAGTGAGAATACTTTTATATCAACATTCTATATTTAGTGAAAGATGTACTTCAAGTAGCCTTGACTGTCCTTACAACATTGAACAAACTAGGCGACCGATCACACCAACGCTTCCAGTCTACATACAGACACCTCCAGTCACTGAAATAATAACTCCAAGCAGCAAACAGACGCCTATAGAGTATGGGCAAACAACAACTAAAGAGCCTTTTATTCCACCAATGTACACACCAGTCACTGAAATAATAACCCAAAGCAGCAAACCGACACCTATAGAGTATGGGCAAACAACAACTAAAGAGCCTATTATTCCACCAATGTACACACCAGTCACTGAAATAATAACCCAAAGCAGCAAACCGACACCTATAGAGTATGGGCAAACAACAACTAAAGAGCCTATTATTCCACCAATGTACACACCAGTCACTGAAATAATAACCCAAAGCAGCAAACCGACACCTATAGAGTATGGGCAAACAACAACTAACGAGCCTATTCTTCCACCAATGTACACACCAGTCACTGAAATAATAACCCCAAGCAGCAAACCGACGCCTATGGAGTATGGGCAAACAACGACTAAAGAGCCTATTCTTCCACCAATGTACACAACTCTACCAGTAATACAAAGAACAGGTAAATTAAAAATTCAGAATGTTTGTTTTTTAAGAAATATAAACTTTACAAATCACAATAAATTGAACTATAAATCAAGGTTCTGACACTCCAGCACAATAATTAATTTAATATTGTATGACTCAGTTCTGTATAACTTATAAAATCAGTATGTTTCTTTCAGACATTATTTTATGTTCCAAAAAAATTCATTTTTATATAATTTGACTGAAAATTCATTCAGTCCAAAGTATTAACCTACATTTGTTACAGAATAAACAAGAATTTATACAATAAAATGCATGTGGTAACATTGGTCATTCCAATGTTGAAAGTGCTGGGATCAGGCCCTTGAGCCATTCTTAAAGCTATGTCAATTGTGCATAACTTATCTAGTGTCAACGCTGTTGGACATTAAGCATTAATCTTATGTAGACTGCTAGAATGCCTACAGGCAAGTATTTCCAGATTGCATTGTTCAAAATGAGTCTATAATATGCTGTTCGGTGATAATTTTTGTTAGACTGGGGATGTTAACTTCTAGAAGAAAGAACATGTGCTGCAGAGGAGGAATTTTTTGAATAAATTTGTTAGGACTTTATGGAAAATATAAGCAAAATTAAAATAAGTTAAGAAAGTAGTATATCTGTAATGGGCTGCATTATTATTTCTCATTAGACTAAAAGCTGCATAAACAGTAACTTATAACACTGGAGTAAATTACAAATTTCTAAGAACTTATATAAAGTGTATCTGCATCTGAATCCTATATTTCATCTTTTCTTTCTGTGTAACATATTTGGACAAAGGACTCCAATGTGGAATGCTGGTAGTGAGAACCAACCCACTCATCACTTATGGAGAAGATACAGTCATAGGTCAATGGCCCTGGCATGCAGCTCTGTACTTGTACATGAGGCGTGACATTAGATACAGGTGTGGTGGATCTTTAATTGGCATCAAAACTGTTATCACAGGTAAATAAGATTATTACCAATGATTCGTATCTCACCATCATAGTATGAAAGAACCTGTGCACTTATATAATTTGTGTCTATATTATGATAGTGGTCTCTTCCAATTCTGTTAACAAATTTTGAATTCCAACTTCTTCTCTAAATATTTAATTTTACTGAACTGTTATGGCTTGTTATGGCTTGCATTGTTTTGCTAAAATTTAAATATTTATGTTTCTTTGTTGTAAAACAGTCAGAAAATATATTCTGTACAATGTATACACCATAATTAAACAAATTAACAGAGTGTGTGGGTCATTAACAAGATCAAATATGCTTCCCATTTTTCACAGTAACCCATATCTATATTTATTGTTCCAGCATACTGATAAAATTTTCTGGAATCTTTTGATAAATAACAAGAAAAAACCTATATTCATGATTTTGGATGTAGTAAGTTCCACAGCATTTTTGATGTTGCAATGCATGACAGTGAAATCCAAACAGGTCTGACAATATTGCAGTCACTTATCTCAGTCAGTATCATATCTTTATATATTTATTTATACACATACTATTGGAGATATAATCTTTCCTGAAATCATCTCCATCCCATTATTTTGGATAATACACTGCAACAAATACAGTAAAAAACAATAGAAATAAATGTGTTCTGCCAAAACTTAACTCTCTGCATAACTTAATACAATACAATGAGTGCAAACCACTGATAAACAGTAAAGATTCTTAGACACAGAAAATTTTGTTTTAGATAAATCAGAAATAAAACTAATAAATGTTGATTTACACATGAATACATAAACATATTTCCCAGAAAAGTGAAGAAGAACAAAAAGAACTTACATCGCATACAGCGAGAACAACTAATTTAACAAGCAACTCTCATCTTAACATTCTTTTCAAAGTATTTGACTGTGGTTTCTGCAAGTTTTGATGTCAATAACAGTACTTTCAGATACAGTAAATCATTTAGTAACAGTGAATTTCCAAAGCAAGTATGTGTAATATGTATGCTTAAACTTTCTGAAGTCTTCCAAAACATGACTTTATAATGTATCAGAAATCTGCTCAACAGTTGAAACACAGTGAAGGACAAATAATAAACATAACTATAAACATCTGTGAGCAAGTAATAATAGATTTACATTCTTTTACTTTACTTTTTTGTTTCTCTCGATAAGAACACAGATATTACATCTTCAACTTGTTTGGCAATCACAGTTTGATTCAGATTGACTACATTTAATAGAACAGGATCTGGTCTAGAAAGTTCTACTGTCAAACACTTTGAATAGGCATTGTTAATTTCTTTATTTATACATGCTGGTAAAAATTTATTGTCCAATATGAATTATTTGAAATTCAGTTTTATAAAGAGACATACCAATAAAATCTATGTTTGTTGTGTGAATTTGAGGAGAGCCAATTACAAATATGATGGTATTAGGAGTTAAGATTCAACATCAAACATTTCACTAATGTGGTAAGCAATAACAAAGTACATCATACAAATACAATTTTTTAAAATTTACAAACATTTGTGGGCATGTGAAACTAAAGAAAAATTATTTTCTATTAAGGCTGACAAGTGGCCTTACAAACTTTTGCTGGTAGAATACAGAAGAGGCATTTAAATGTGCTGGGCCAATACCATAAATTTAAATAACTTCTGAAATTTCAAACCCTTTGGTAAACAAAATATTATTTCCTAAATATACAAAAGACAATAAATTAGGAAAGCTAAAAATACAATATAGTGCAGAAGTAATATTTCTTCCACAAGTTTAAATTGCATATAGGTAGTAAATATAAAGTTATATCTCAAATAGGTCTGTTCTTTTGACAGCTGCACACTGCGTAACCAAAAATGATAAACAACTAGCTCCAGGTGATATCATAGTTTACCTAGGAAGATATAACCTCAGAAATCTGAATGAGGAAGGCTCACAGAACAGAGATGTATGTACTTCTCAAATTGTTTGCTACAATTTTCCTAGTATAATTTCCAGAATTATATTTTGCAAACTTTGGATCATATACACACCTGTAGTACCATTTACAGCAAACAAGTAATACACAATAACAACCCAGGAAAAGGCCCACTAATTTTCATAACTTATAATATTATGTAGCCTACAAAAGTATGCAGTGTATTATTTGGTTCAATAATTAGTTATCAGTAAGCAAGTTATAGCTGATCGGAATAAAATATTATCAAACATTATTTTTAGCAGCAAAATTCTAAAATGCAGGTAGATAGAGTTTCTAACTACTCAATGTAAAATTATGTGTTGATAAGATAAAGAGAAAAAGTATCATGCTTTCAAAGGGTGTGTGACCGGGCATAAATTAAAAATTAACTTTGTATACCTACATTAAATATTCATCAAAATAAAAACTGTTTGAGGCAAGCATTACAGACGCAACATTTCTTAACATAGCTAAATATTTTAGGATATGAACAAATTCTCCATATGATTAATAATATTTAGGAAATCTATGATGTATGATTTGTGTAAGAAAGTAAGCTGACAGCATCAGTGCATAATATTTTTTATGTGTCAAGGTAACCAAAGTAACTGTACATCCCTCATACAATGCCACATCTACTGTGGGAGATATAGCAGTACTTACGCTCTCCACCTCCGTTGAAGTTACTGTAACTGTGAGACCTGTATGCTTGTGGGACCAAGAGAATATTAATCCTGCATATTTGGTTAACAAGGAGGGCTTGGTAAGGTTTAATCTTTAGAATTAAACAGTTTGGTATCATGAAAATGGTTGTCTTTTAGGCTGTTGCACCATGCAATCTGGTAGAATTTCACTGACATTTTAGATGTGCTCGCTGCCTAGTCTGTTCATCACATCCATGAGTATCCCACATCTCTCTCTTTCTGTTTGTAAGATATTCTTGGGAAACAGAAGTGTTCTGTTATTCCTAAATGTGCCAGTATTCTTGTTTGTTCTCTCTTATTATCAACAATTTCTAGTTCCTTTTTCATATATAGGCTCTGCTTTTGACCAAGTACTTAGCATACAGCCATTATGCTCAGAAAACTTATTTCTACTGTATCAAGTCTATTTTTTCAGTGGCAACATTACTCCTGATAGTAAATTTGGCATATTCTTGTTTTGAAAATATGATTCTTCACAAATATTTGTTGTTGTTTGTAAAACAGGTGGTTGGATGGGGTTTAAATGAATACGATGAGCCTACAGAGACTCTGAAAATGGTAACGATGCCAGTGGTGAGCCAGCAGGCTTGTATCTGGAGTGATCCCAACTACTATTCACATTTCACATCCAACACAACCTTTTGTGCAGGATATCGAAATGGTATGTCCAACTTCTTGTCATAAATTAAAGGTAAACTACAATTTTGAACACAGCAATGTGTCTTGTGCTTAGCATACAGATCTCCAATTCACAAGTCCATACATGAACTATATTCTGACTAGCTTTCCTCAACCACTTAAGACAGATGTTAATATAATGCCTTAAAGAAGGTCATAAGTATTTCATTTCAGATTTTTTCCAGTTCACCATTTATAGTCAGCACTGCAAAACCTAAACAGTTAAGAAAGAAACATATGAGATTTGAAGTTATCATAGCGGTGAAGATGTTGGTGTTCTGAGTAGTGAGGTTTTCACAGCGGTGAGTATGAAGACTTCTGTCTTCTGGGTTGTTGCGCTGTGTAGTCTGGTCGATGTTAACCAACGTTTCAGAGGTCATACTGCCTCCATCATCAGGGCCCTGATGACGGAGGCAGTATGACCTCTGAAACGTTGGTTAACATCGACCAGACTACACGGCGCAACAACCCAGAAGACAGAAATCGTCATACTCATCGCCCTGATGACGGAGGCAGTATGACCTCTGAAACGTTGGTTAACATCGACCAGACTACACGGCGCAACAACCCAGAAGACAGAAATCGTCATACTCATCGCCCTGATGACGGAGGCAGTATGACCTCTGAAACGTTGGTTAACATCGACCAGACTACACGGCGCAACAACCCAGAAGACAGAAATCGTCATACTCATCGCCCTGATGACGGAGGCAGTATGACCTCTGAAACGTTGGTTAACATCGACCAGACTACACGGCGCAACAACCCAGAAGACAGAAATCGTCATACTCATCGCCCTGATGACGGAGGCAGTATGACCTCTGAAACGTTTGTAAACATCGACGAGACTACACAGCGCAACAACCCAGAAGACAGAAGTCTTCATACTCACCGCTGTGAAAACCTCAAATCTTACAAAATTTTACTTACGAAGAGACACCAAAATTCATTAATTTCATTAACCTTCTGCCCACACAAAAACAAAACCTTTTTTCTTTACAGGCAGCAGTGTCTGTAATGGTGACAGTGGTGGCGGAATGGTCTTCCTTAACCAGGACAATGATGGCACTCAGATGTGGATGCTACGTGGTATAGTTTCTCACAGTAGGCGAAGAGATGGTTATGCTAATATATGTGATACTAAAAGTTACATTGTCTTCACAGATGTTGCACAGTACTTAAGTTGGATATACACAATCTTAATTTAACATATAATCTAAAGTGCTCATTATTTAAAATGGTAGAGTCTAAGACATCACTGGAATTCTAAACCCATGAGTGAAGAATTCAATTTTTAGTTTTCAGCATCTCTTCTCTCAGATATGATGGAAATAGACAGTTATGAAAAGTAATTACAAACAATGATTCCATAAAACCAGGTGGCTGACAAATGATGATTGCCCGGCTTCGGGGCTGAATATTCACCACAAAATAAATTCATTATTGAATTGATTCATTAATATGATTCAAGATATGTATGATGGACATGAGACTTTGAATGTTACAGCTTGTTTGTTGTAACATCAACCAACAAGCCATAAGTGCAAGTTGAAAAAAAATCATTTTTTCGTGACGGGAATAGTAGACATACAAAAAGACCACTTTTCTCCGAGGCACATAGGAAGAAAGTTCGGTTACAAGTAGTTCTAGAAACTACACTAAAATCTTACTTCTGTATAATTTTATAGTCTGTTGTTTTACAGGTCCTCAGTGGTTATCATGCCATATAGGACATTCATAATATTGTTAGTTTTATTATTTATTTATTGTTTATTTATTTCCGTTCGATGTATACAATTACAGCAGAATGATAATCGCTGAATCAATCTAAATGCATTACGGTGTCTTTCGTGTATAAGAGCTTTCATATTTTTCTGAAATTATCTCAGACTAGCTAACATACTTGTTCTTAACCTGAGAACTAAAATACTAAAACTGCCCACTTACTATGACAGTCTTGTAAATATATTTTCTGCTTGAACAAAGGATGCATTACCAGAAGTTTCCATTCTTCATTTAGGTTTTTCTTTAAATAAAGAGTACTCAGAAATCAAACAAGCTTATTTCTCATATCACATATCTTTCGTAAGAATGCAGACAAGGATTTTATGGCATATTTGGTACATTTGATTAATTTCTATTATTCCTGAATGGTGAGAATAGTTTAGAAAAATGTTATAAAGAGCTCTCAAATGATATTACTACGGAGTGTCATTGCAGCAGGCATGTCCAGAGTTCTTTGGCTTTCTTATCACTGCCCCATTAATTGCACATTAACATACTCTCCCTCCTAAGTTAAGGGGACTGCAGAACTTTGTCGCTGATTCTGCTCTTAGCTGGACACAGGGTAACGTTAGAATAGCGCGACAGACTTGAGGGTTTCGAGAGGATACTAACAGAAAATGCAACCAAAACACATCGAAAGTCTATCCAATTCTTGCTTGCTTGTTGCACTCACATTTTGTAGGGTTTTCTTTTCTTAAGCCGGAAATGCAACTTTCCTTACATTGCTGAAAACTTCACTTAACGTTATTAGTCTAGCACCATACCATGCATACCTTATCATATTCTGAAAACATACAGAGCTACACTATTGTAACATATTGGTGAATTTTTAATTGTTACGTTCAGAAACCAACTGAGCGTTTGTATTTTTTTAATGTGAATGTAGGAGAAAATTAAATATATAAAAAGCAAAGGCACAAAAAATAATTCTCTTACGACCTTCAAAGTCACTACAGACATGGCGATCACAAAGAGTTAACTGGGAATCGAACCGAGGTTGCCCGCACTGCAGGTAAGCACGCTACCCAACTGAGCTTTACTCAGCTACAACGATCAACATAAGGGAGGGAGGGGTTCTTTCATGAAACTTATAAAGTTACAGCAAAGAACGTAAGAAATAAAATTGAAAAACAAAGAAACAGTAGAGTGCAAACATATATTTTGTCCAGGATGTCAGAGGATGTTCCATTACCAAACTTCAAAACTGCAGTCTAATCGGTAGACCGCGTTCCTTTGTAAGTTCTTAGGGACAAAAACCCGAAAGAGCATCGCTTCGACCTGCAGACCCAGAAAAGTTATTGTTATGTGGTGACCCTTGTCCGTAAACCTACACCTCTGGTCCCAGCTTTAAAGCCTGTCGAGGAATGCGGAAATGGTAATTGCGTCTTTGACAAAAGGAAGAAAATGTACCCCGCATTCCTTCTTGCTTCCTTTCCCCTGTAAATTAGGCACCTTTAGAAAGAGGGTCAGAAAAGTAGTTACAAGCTAAGGGTTATTAAGTTGGGAATAAATGGTGAGAAGGGAAGTGAAGTGTCTTAGTCTCCAAGTGATGAAGGGCTGTAGTTTTTTTTTTGGGATAAAATTTTCATGTACTGAGAGCGGACTTTATATTCTACTCTAAGTATTGTGATTAATTAGTGGATGTGTGTTTTGTATGGTGTGTCAGATGTTTTATTTTGAGTGTGGTATGTTGTATTGTTGTGTCTCATTGTATTGTTGTGTGAGTGCATCAGTTCATGACGTTTGTAATACATTACAGTTATTGTCTTATGTCTAGGTGGTATTAAGTTCTTTTTTTTTAAGTTAAGTACTTGAGGTTGGATGGTTTTGTAATTTATGAGTTGGTTGATGTTGAGTGGGATGTGTTGTTTTTGCTTCCACCAGACTACCCGACGCAACAACCCAGAAGACAGCCATCTTCAGACTCACCGCTGTTAAATGTTCCATCAGAACGTCCCCTCGGAATCAACCTGATCGACTTCAAAAAAATCCCCGTAAAGATAAGTTGTCCCTACAGCACCTCGCCATTAAGACGTGAATTTTGGCACTCAGTTTGAAGCGCCGACCGCTTTAACTCTGAGGACATAGCCCACTAAAGAACAGGCTGCAGAGACAGTCTTGCCGTCATGGCCGGGAATAGAACTCCAACCTTCCGGCCCCACAGATAATATACCCGCCTGCATTCTTTTGTTTCCTAACATGGGTGGTATCAAGGATAACATCTACTATAGCAGAGTTTGTGTCCGAGTTCTTTAGCCTTCAGGACGAGCTTTGGAGAGAGATAGAGAAGGCTGAATGAGGAAAAGCGACAAAGCCAATCCGGAGGCAAGTGCCTCTTCCATACACTTGGTACGAATGCATTATCCATCCTTACATACCGTGCAGTCTACTGATATATAAAGTTATGCATACAGACAAAACTTTTTGCTCTTGAAGTGCGAACACAATAATGTTCTCTTATTCTTCTTCTTTTGTAATCAATCCTACGATTGGTTGGCAGCAACTTCAGCTGCTGATACTTGGGAAATCCTGTGGAATCCTGTGGATTCCCCTTGCCTTCCGCATCCTATGCCGTTGACCCATCCGGGTTCATCCGCCGTTAGGGGTGATTTCTCACTTGGTAGAGGGGGGTCACGTACACCGGTGGTCACTCGGTCTGTGGACGCAGTTTAACGTCATGCCCGGGACTAGTTCTCTTATTAAATGACGTAACTGATACAGTTGGTACAGGATCGTTATAACCCTACGGTCAAGCTACCTATCCATACATTACTTGGTGAGCAAACTGTTTGTTGGAAGTGTTCACTGCGAGACATGACGTCAGTGCATTGTTGTACTACGCTGACTGCTTCACACTGTTGATTGGCTCTCATTGTTGACTGTCTCTTAGTAACGGCCTGTTGACTGTCTCTTAGTAACGGCCTGTTGAATGTCTCTTAGTAACGGCCTGTTGATGTCATGTGTATCGAGAAAGGTTAACACGTCTAGTCTCCCGTGTGCTAATCCAAAAGAAAACCTAACGTGTTTATTTGTAAACCGTAAACATTTTACTCAGGTAATATCAGATATTGTAAATGCGTCATATTGTGATTATATATTATTAAAATATTTATTAAAAACTTTTGCCGTCAATCACAAATATAATATTGTTAAAAGATTAAAACATCATTTAACGTTCCTATCGAGTACTCGATTACATTGGAACTTACACGACTAGTTTCGGCTATAATTTAGCCATCAACGGGTGTTATGTAGTTTAAACTTATTACATGAATTACTGATTGTTATTGTTTTTATGATTTATATTCTTCATTTTT